TTTTTTTTTTTTTTTGAAAACACATTATGAAGGTACATTTTTGAAAGTAATAGAAAGTTGGCAATATTAATATATAAGACAACATRATAGAGTTTTTTAAATGCGTCAAGGACATTTTTAAAAAGCACACTCCCATAAAATATCACCTTTTTGCTTTTCACTCTGTCACTAAGTAAGGATGTATTAAAGTGTTGAAGTAAAAATAAAAGTATTAACCAGGTGCAGTGGGGTACGCCTTTAATCCCAGGACCTGGGAGGCGGGAGGATTGTAAATTAGTRCCAGCCTGGGCAGCTTAGTGATGCCCAGTCCCCAAATGAAAAACAGAAAGGGCTGGTGTTGCCCAGGCTGGTTGATCCTCCCACCGCAGCCTCAGCTTCTGGGACCCTAGGTGCACKCCACCAGGTGCATTTCCCATGTCATCATTTACATCTGGATAAAGCAAAGATTTTTCCAAGCATAAATTTCACTGGATGGTAGTAAAAAGGGGAAAAATGTCCCTAAGAAATTTTAAATACTTTCAAATTGTAATTGACACATAATAACTGGGCATATTTGCGGGGACAGCGTGGTTTTCCCACACAGGCACCCCATGTATAATGAGCTGAGTCCGTGGCACATCGTCGCCTCAAACATTTATCATTGTTGGGAACATTAGGACCTCAGAGAGGGTGACGTGCAAGTTGACCTCAAGGAGGGAAGGCAGGACCCTGCGGCTGTGGGAGGAGGGAGGGGAGCAGCTCTGGGCTCCTGGGCAGAGCAGAGAGAGGGGTGAAGGGCCCGGTGGGCTGGGGCCAGGACCAGGCCAGGCCGGGCCGGGTGGGCCTCCAGGAAGCCTGCGGATGTTCTTCTGAGTGGCACAGGAGCAACAGGGAGTCTTCACCAGGGGGTGGTGTGATTTATTTACGTTCTGAAAACTCACTCTGGTRGGGTGTGGGCCTGGTGGGAGCAGAGAGATGGGGAGAAGGCGTGTAGAGTCACCTGTGAGAGGCGGGGAGCCCTGTCCWGTGTGACATTGTGGCAGCTGGTGGGCTGCTGGCCAAGGTGTGGAGGAGTGATGGCCTTTGGGATTTGGGGCCGGGGAGGAGCGTGGCTCTGCGCTCTCTGCTCGAGGCCCCATTTCCCAGCCCCCCACACTCTTAGTTATCACCCCCGGCTGTCAATGCACCCGTCCCATGTGCCTTTGGCCCTGGGGGTTCTTGAGGGCTCCGGCCTAGGCCTGATCTCCACTCAGAGCGAGCGCGGAGGCTCCCCAGAGAGGCCGTGGAAGGCGGGCCTTGGCCGGGCAGCCTCCCCAGCCTCACTGAGGCCACAGGAGCGCTCCTGTGGTCGGCTGTACGCGTTGCTTTGCTGTGTAAGGTTTTAAGTGAAGAAATGGATCATGAGCCTTGAAAAGTTTGAAAGCTGCTTCTTTCTTTTTTTTTTTTTTAATATTTTTTAGTACCTTTATTTTTTTATTTATTTATGGTTGGTGCTGAGGGTCGAACCGGGTGCCTCACACATGTTAGGTAAGTGCTCTGCCACCGAGCCCCAGCCCCAGCCCTGAAAGCCACTTCTTCAGAGGTGATTTCCTTAAGACGCCCTTCACGGGTGAGGGCAGGAGAGATGCTGGGCCACCAGAGTGCAAGAGGGAGAGGCGTCTGGGGCAGGGGCACARATTGGCCCTTTGCTCCCTGCTGAGTAGCGAGGCTGGGCTGGGAGAGGACGTGGGGGCTCGTCCCCTGGGTGTGGAAATGGCCTTGGTTATGGAGGGGTCTGGCCCTATAGGGTGAAGTTAGGCTGCTTTCCTCCTTGGCACTCGTGGGACACCCGGGCTGGTTGTGTAGGTCAGAACTTCAGCTCCCAGGGCAGCTGCGAAAGGTGGGAGTGGGAGCCCGGTTTATTCCCCTCCTCCCGGCCATGTCCASTATGGCTGTGTGTCCGTTTAGCACTAATTTGCGATGGGGCAAGGCCAAAGCCCAGCGCCTAACATTCAGTACCTGCCTCCTGCCTTCAGGGCCCACGGTTCCTGGAAACATTGGATTCACTGCCGCATTGTTTTGGAGGAATATTATTTTCCAGAACTCTCARGGTGGGCCTGCCCGCCTGGGAGTGGCGACCAGCCCCCATGCCCCCTGGCACCTCAGTGCTCTCTGAAGATGGAAGAGGCTGCCTGCAAGCTGTGAAGGGAGGGGCCTGATAAAGTCACTGAGGCCTTCAAGGCCATGAGGCCACCTCCATGGGCCATTTTGTGAYCCTGACTGAACTAGGCCTGCAGCAWGCTGGGTGCTGAAACTGCGAGTTTTGCAAAAAGTGTATCATCCTYGAGGCGGGCAAATAGACGAGCTGGAAGACCAAGCCTCAAATCTGCCCCCTGGCCTGGGCTCTCGGCGTTTACGGGGGAACAGGCAGATGGTCAGAGGGTGGGAAGGGCCGWCGGAGGTGAGGAAAAGTGGAGAAGCCGGGTCCACGCTTGGGGGTCCACACACAGGCAGTCGTACTTCGTGGCTCTTGAAAGGCACACTTTCAGCTAGTGGCCCTTCATGTCAAAACGTCAGCCATCGGACACTTAGGACCCCAAACACACAGGCAACCACTGTGACCCTTGTGCCCAAGGTGTCACCTGAAGCAAAGCTGATGGGGACACACACGTTGCTAGCAAGCTGACCCTTAACACTGGTGAAGGGGGACACAGGGTCTCCAGTAGCCCTCTGGTGTAGTGGGCATCCCCAGGTGCTGGGCGGATGCTGGGTGTGACCTGGGTGGGTGGGGCTTCCCTGGGGAGGGGCTCCCAGGCTCCCTTGGGCGMACCATGGCTGCAGAGTCACCTCGAACCCAAGACCTTCAGGGAGCTGTGTGGGGGCTGTGTCCTTACTGTGGGTGGGACAGGTGGCGGGTGTGAGGACCTGTGCTGTGTCTGCTCTGCCCTGCGGGCCCCAGGCTTCCCGCTGCACCAGCCCCTGCCCTGCCTTTCCCTGCCCGCCACCTTCTGCCGGGGCCACTTGGCGTCTCTGGGACCCTCCCGACGATGGCACATGGTCATGGCACACCCGTCCTGCACCACGGTCACCCCATCCGCTCAGGGCCTGGGCTTTGGAAACTCACAGGCTTTTCTTCGTTTTGGGAGGAAACTCCCTTTTCTTGAAGAGCTGAGAACAGAGCTCAGACCCCCCCCCCACCCCGCCAGGCTCCAGGAGCCAGGACCATGGGCTTCATTTAAATAGCTGGACACAGCCCCCGCCTCCCAGAACCCCGTAGGTCAGCGACTACGGAGCAGACTCCTCCTCCAGCAGGAAGCATCTTTATTGTACAGAGAAGTCCACGGTGATTCAGCCGTTCTTGACCTGGAGGTCCTGAGCATGCGTGGTTGARGGCAGGGACTGGTCCTGGGTCAGAACCGGCTACTCTGGAATGGTCAACAGCAGGTAGTCCTGTGAACAGAAACAGAGTTGCACTCCCCATTCATCCTCGATGCCCATAAAACCCACTCTCCCTGAGGCTATTCTAGAGAGGGACTGYACCCTGTCCCAAGGACACTCCAAGAAGAAAGAGTCAGAGACCAGGTGGACAAAGAGGATTGAGCAGAGGAGAAGGAGTCTCAGAGATGCTTGCGAGCAAGGAACAGACCAGACTTGGGGGCTTTTCCTGAGATACATTGACTGAATGAGTGAATGGCAATGAAGGAATGAGGGGTGGTCAGGCCTGCCATGCAAGGATGTGAGGTTGTGCACTGCTCAACTCCTGGTGGCACTTGTCATGTAAACTMTAGCCCTGTTCTGGGGACACCTGAGTTCTAGGGAGGTGGGTAGTCCAGGCTAAGGTAACAATAGGTGAGTTCAGATGAGCCCCTTGGACTCCAGCTCTGCTGTGCTGGGCAAGTTTTCTCATTTTCTCTGCCTCTCTGAGCCTTTAGTTCCCTCCGTGATAAAAATGACTTTGTGGAGCTGATTGTGAGAGTCCTGCATGTGTGGAAGGCGCTGAGCTCTTCAGCCCTGTGGTCTGGCTTCCTGAAGGACTCTGCAGGCCTGAGGAACCTCGGTCTCCTCATCTGTAATGGGGCCTAGCGTCCAGGACAGCTGTGACAGGTGGTTAAGGAGAGGGAGGCAAAGGGCTGGGCCCACGCAGGCGCCTCCTCCAACTGCGCCTCCGCCTCTGCGGGCGAGCAGGAGCCTCTGACCCCCACCTCCCCTGCAAAGGGCTCCCTCTGCACCTACCTCGGAGAGGTCCATGTGGGCCTGGTTGAAGGAGAGGCCCTTGACATTGGGCAGCGGGAGGCTGTGTCCTCTGAGCTGCGCTACAAGAGGGGAGCGGGGAGCGGCGCTGGGGGGTGAGCGGGGCCAGGCCAGAGAACCCTGCTGCTCCCCTGGGAAGGCTCTGGAAAATGACCTTCCACAAGACCGCTCCCTGGGAAACCGTTGCCCAACCTTAACGCCGGCCCTGAGGGGAGAGCCGACCTCCTCCCTCCCGCCTAGTCCCCAGCCTCTCCACCCAACGGGGCCTGAAGAGGGGGGCAGTACTGAACCCCGGGCCTTGACCTTCCCCACGGCARATGGTCCCTGGAAGGAGAGGAGCACAGAGTGGGGTTCCAGGTCGCAGAGGAAGGAAGGTAAGCAGTGGGTTCCGAGTTGTGAGCTCTTCCCGTGACTTCCTACCACTGCCTTCCGAGTTCAAATTTCAACCAGCACAACTAGGTCCCCGTGTGTCCCAACAGCTCTGCSCGCAGTCTCCAGTGAGTGATTCGCCCTCATTGTAAACTGTGAAACCCAGCCTCCTTCTGCAACCTGGGGCCATCTCCATTCCAGAAAAACGAGGCTCCCCTGCAGGATGGAGAGACTTGCTGCTCCAGGGTGGCCTCCGGCCTCTGTCATTGTGAGCCATGCCCCCACCCCCCAACCTTCTGGGGATTGAACCCAGGGTCCTGGGGCACTTGGCAGGCACTGCCTGGGTGCCACTGCCCAGCCCAAGGTCTTCTGTTTAGCAGCAGCTAGTTAAGGAACGATCAGTTTGTTGAGGCTTCTCAGGGCCCTTCAGGGAGGCGCGGTTGTTCTTCAGCTGCGGGAAAACTGTGCTGAGAATACTGAGCTCCTAAAAAATGCTGAAATGTCAGTAGAAACAGAACGGCTCAAAAACAGGATTAGAAAAAAGTTGGAATAAACCAAAAAATTCACCTGAAAATGTTAAAAATTGGATTCTGCTAATAGGATGATATCCATCAAATATATAAGTGTATTCACGAATATACTTATCTACCCAGAGTCCTGAAAGCAAGTTTTTGGTAAACGTGGAGAACTGGTCATTTTTCAATTTCAGTTTCTGTGAATTAGCTACTCGGCCAGTTGGTTTTTGCAAACTTCCTTAGACTTGACCTTGAGGCCTGGCTTGAGCTCCCCGACTCCTCTTCAGGGCTGAGCAGCCCTTAGCCAGCTCCACCCACACTGTCACCTGGCCCCAGAGAAGGAGAGTGTAACCCCTCCCCCCCAGCTGTGTCCTTCTGGCACCTACAGGTGGGGGTGGGATGGAGGAAGAGTGACAGGTGCGTGTCTTCCTTCTGTCCTCACCATGCAGAGGCCTCTCCACAGTCCCTTGGCCCCAGCCTCCAGACTGCCCAGCTTGGTCCTTTCCCTGTGTGGAGGCCAGATGGCCCTCCTGCCGATTCTCCTATTTGGGCTGCTTCTTGCAGGCAGCCCTCCGGATTCCTCAGTGGCCTTGGCCCTGGCCTCCCCTTGCAGGGAGGCTGCAGTACGAAGAGCACCCCTTTCCCCAGCAGGCTGCGCCCCTGTTCACCTGGCACCTGGCTGCCTCTCTGGGTCTTCCCTTGCCACCCTCTTCTGCCTTCAATTAGTCCCCTTCTCAGAGACCAATTGAATCACTTCATGCCCAGCTTCCCTGGCCCCGTAGGTCTCAGTCTGGCTGGCATTGGAGCCCACCTGCTTCTTTACCCTGTGTCCTAACAGGAGTCACAGCACAAGGACTCTGTCGGGGAAGCCAGAAACCAGGGTTCTGGAATCAACTCTGTCAGAGACTTGCTATGTAACCTTGGGTCAGTCACTTAACCTCTCTGGACCTGGTGGGATGGTTGCATCCGAAAGATGAAGAGCCAAGGGGTGAGTAGATTGGTCTGTGTATCCTACATGAGTGTCTTCGGGCGTGAGGCTGCGGGCAGAGTGCTGGGCTGCGTGGGAGACCTGGGGGCTCTGCTCTCAGGCAGCTCACCCTCTGGTTGGGACACAGACACTTAGGTAATCACATGGCGAATGGTGACTGTCCCGCTCACTGCAGGGGAGGCTGAGGCCAGGAGGCCGAGTGCATCTCTGTAGGACGGACTCCCAGCTGCACTCAGTCTTCCCCGCTCACTTCCCCAGGATACCGCTGGTGACGGTGGTGAGTGCTGCTGCCCATGGGCGGAAGTTTGAACGCTGGAGAGGGACGCGGAGGCAGGCGGCACAGAGACCATGTCACAGATTGTTCCTGCCTTCTGTCCAGGAACGGGACTGACCTACGGGAACGGACCCACTTTCTGGTGGAAAATGAGCCACTGAACCAAGGAGGGGACTGGGCTTGTATGGGCTGAGGGTGGCTTAGTGAACATGTCACTCGGGAACTTGAGTCCTGGGGCTGGGGGTGGGGGGCCGGCACTTGGAGAGGGGTCAGTGTTTCCCGGGAGGGCTCCTCCTGGGAGAGGGGAAGGCCGTCAAGGTGGCCTCCCCACCTCCTCCCCCGGGTCTCACTGTCTCGGGTTTTTATTTTTACTTTTCACATCCCACAGGGTGGATTTACAAAGTAGTGACACAGACTTCTCCCGGGAGGGAGAGGGGGGCTACGGCTGCTGTTCTGGTGGCCCTAGGAGTGGGGTGCCCTGCCCCTCCTAGGCTTCCTGGTCCTTCTTGGTTCTCCCGCCTCCTCCTCTTACCTCTTTCCTTCCTGTGACCAGGCCCAGGAGGCGCCGGTGGGTGGCTAAAAGGTGAGGAGCAAATGGACTGGGGCAGGTTCCAGAGGAGACATCAATGAACAGACCTGTCAACTCCCAGAGGGAGGGACAATCCCTGGGACAGGTCACCTTGGCGACAGTTGGAGCAGGGCCAGGTGGGGGAGGGCTCTGAGGCTCTGACAGTTCAGTCTCCCGGGGCCCCACGCGGCCTTCCGCACTGCTCCTGGCCGGGCTTTCCCGCTTCACCCAGACCAGCCTTCCTCCCMGGGCCTGCTCTGGGGGAGCCCCAGGGAGACCGCGGTGCTCTGGCAGAGCTTGCATTTCTTGCCAGACAAGCCCCCAGTGGCGAGGCCTGGGAGAAGGGAGTGAGAAAGAGCCAGACGCCGCCTGCTCTCACCTCTCCCCAAACAACCCCCTCCAGGGGCTGAGCACAGACCCCGCCCCAAGTTCAAATTCCCTGTGTCCAACTGACCCGCGGACCCAGTCGGCTCAGGACAGCCCCGACAGCCCGGCCCCTCCTGAGAGCAGGGAAGTGGCCCTTTGGAGGTGCAGTCTCTTCCCTGAGTAAAAGGCCGAGATGGCCCCTGACCCCTGGCCCCTGGCCCCTGGCCTGTCTTTTCGTGCTAACAAGTGTCCTGCGTTGGGGTGAAGGTGAAGTGCAGCCTCCGCATCTCTCGGGTCAGGATCCCTGCCCTCTGCGCGGCCACTGACGAGCCGCCCCTTCCTGTGGCCTCCCCGAGGCCCACCTGGTGCTCTGCGGGCTGCTCCCCTCCAGGCCCTTCCGCCGGCCTCCCGTCCCGAGCAGCAGTGCCCCTCTCCACCCCCAGCTGCCCTCACACGGCCACCAGGCAGGACAAGAGGGCACTTGCCGTCACACCAGGTCCAGTGTCTGCCCTGCCGCCTGCCTTCCCTGAGACAGTTCTCAGCCCACTGGGGACAAGGCCCTTTGGACTTGTTTGGAGCTGCTCCAAGCCACGTGACATGTGGCATGGCGGAGAGTCGCGTGGGGCTTACCGTTGTGATGGGGCAGGAACCTCCTCTTCAGGAACCGAGAGAGAGAAGCCCGCAGCTCCTCCTGCAGCAGAGCAAGGGGGACAGGAAGGGCACCTCCAGGAACGTCCCCTCGGCTGGGCTGGCAGATTCTGCCCACAGGGACAGTGCACAGATGCCCATGGGGACAACATGGAGATAGCACTTTTGAAGGACCTTGGGGCTAGCCGGCAGACTGGTGAAGGGACTGGGGGACACGGAGGGCCTCGGGAAGAGACACCCTCGCCCTGTGCACTCTCGGGGGAGACACGGTTGGTCCGTGGAGCCCAGGGCCACAGCCTCACAGGTGTCACTGGGGACAGTCGAGGGAGCTCTCTAAGGCTGAGAGGTGCCAGTAACGTCACACGTGGAGCTGCCACCTCCTGTCACTGGGGACGTGCTGGGGGGCCATGACCAGGATGGTCCCAACCCAGCGGACAGGTTGGGGAAGGCCCTCCTCTTCATCGCCCTCCTCCTGTCCCCCGGGAGGTGGTCCCAGGAGGGAGGTGGTGTCTGTGACGCGGGTGGCAGGGACAGCGCGTGGCTTGCCTGACCAGATGCAGGGCAGCCTGGTCTGAGGACTGCCCCTGGGGTGTCACAGAAGTCCCTGACCTGGGCACATGACCCTCAGGACCTCCAGCCCTGGGCCTCTGTGAGGTAGAGATGGAGGGAGGAAGGCCCAAGGTGGCGCGGGTGGTGACATTTGTCGTGTTGGCCGGGTCGCGCTCTGGCCTGGCTGGAGTTAAGGACGACGTGCCGAGAACTGTTTTCTCCTCCCACATTTCCTCTCACTCAAAGCCAAGACTGAAGGGCTGTCCCCGCTGGCCCGGGGACACGGAGGAGGCTGAGAACGGTGCACAGGCACCGGGCCCTGGGCCCTGAAGAGGCCTCCCCTCCTCCTCCCTTGTGAGCAGGGGACTCAGGCCAGCGGGGAGCCCTGCGCGGCTGTCCTCAACATGCAGGGGATGAGGTGCCCGTGGAGAACCTGGCTCTGGACACCGCTCTTCCCCTACGTCGACTCCACCGAGAGGTCCCTTTAGTGCCACCTTCAAACACACCCATAACTGACTGCTGCCCTCCACGCCACCACCTCCTCACTCAGGGCCTCTCCAGTGCTGGGCTGCTCCTCCTGCCAGCCTTCTTCCTGGCCTCCAGCCTCGACCTGGCCCTCCAGTCTGAGCCTCCTCTGCTTGGACACTCCCTTCCATAGCTCTTGGCTCACTCAGAGGACCGGCCACCCCTGCTGTGAGCCTGACCCTGCCCCCTCTCTGACCTCCTTCACTGTCCCTGCAACAGCCACCTGTCCATCAGGCACGCTTGGCCGGGGGCCTGGGTCCACTTCTTCCCAACAGCCCCAGTCTCCCCACTTCTCCTCTGGGGCTCAGCTTGTCAACGAGGCCTTCGCAGACCCTCCTTTTCAGTCTGACCCCAACCCACATGCCTGATCCCCTGTCCCCTCCCCCTGGGCCTGTATAATCTGCTCTCTAATGTGCCCTACTGCGGCTCCTGGGGAGTGTGGCCTTCCACAGGGCAGGGACCTCCTTGCTGCTCCCCAACACATCCCTGAGCAGGGCCGGGCAGAGTCGGTGCTCGGTTAGTGTTGGCTCAGTGTGAGGAGGAGGGTAAGGGGCAAGCTGAAGCCCGGAGGCTTCTCCCTGCCACCCAGTGGGAGAGGAGATGGGACAGGAAGCGAATGAGCCTTTCCACCCCGCGGCACCAGTGCCTTGGGACCTTGGGTTTGTCCAGCGCTGGGTCCTTTGAGACCACGGGGAGGCCAAGGCTATGGGAAGGGACTCACCTGCTTCTTGAGAACAGCCGGGTAAGGGCCCAGGGTGACCACGGCACTACCAGGGAAAAGAGATGGGTCTCTCAGGTCAGGGCGGCTGGCGGGGCTGGCGGGGCTGGCGGGGTGGACACAGTGCCCCTCCCTCCCCGGATGCTGACAGCAGGTGGGACTGTGCCCACAACCACACCCTCCCCCTCCACTCTTGCTGTCGGCTGTCTTTTTTTTTTTTTTTCCAGAACATTCCAAACAAAAAACATTACCTGTTTGGAGAGAACTGGAGTTTTAATTTCTGGTTTGTGGAGGAAAATGCAGCTGTTGACAGGAGTTTCTAGGAGGAATTGAAAGAATGAGGTTGGGAGGGGAGTGGGATTTGTGTTCCAGGCGGGGGAACCGTCCGCCCCCCGCCCTGGGGCTGGTGTGCAGTGTGGGCCCCGCTCCTGTGCCCGCTCAGGCCGTGCCCGCGTGGGCCCCGCCAGGGGAGAGGCCGGGGCTGGCTGCGGTGGGGGAGGTGGGGGAGCCTTTGCAGTGACGTCACTGGCTCCAGCACCCGGCTTTGGAAGCAGAGAGCCCTGGGCTGTGAGGAGGCCCCTCCAGATTCACCTTTCAAAAATGGACTTTTTGCACCTGCCAGACATGGCCAGCTTCTGGGCCACGGAATCGTACAACAGGCTCCAGGGACCCCGAGGACTCACAGACCCCTGGCCCCTTATCTGAGGCACCAGGTCTGTTAAATGGGAAGTGGTCACCTCAGGGGAACAGAACTAAGAGACAACCAGGGGCTGTCTGTCCCCCGGGCCCCCGGGCTGCCCTCTCCAGCCTGGCTGGCTCTGGGGCATGGAGGACCCGGCCTCCTCCTGGGCTCCTAATGCCTTGACGTCCAGGGAGAGGGTGCAGGGACCTTGGTCACCCAGCAGGAGTGCAGAGCCGAGGGATGGGGACACGATCCTTCCGTTCTGAGGACACCATGGGCAGCCCTGGGGGTGGGCTCCGGGAGCAGGTGCTAGTGGGCTTCAGTCCTGGCAGTGGGCATGGTGGCCTGAGTGTGACTGACGTCAGCTGATGACACGGTGGTGAGCTCTGCCCTGCCCTCCTGTTACCCTGCCCACGGTCAGTGGGCCCAGGACCCCCGAACAACCACCTTCGAGCCTCACTCACCCAGGAAATGGAGCTGGAGGTGTTGTTGGGCCCCAGCAGTACCAGGGAGCCCGGCTGGGTGACCCTAGCTGTGTGGCCGATCAGGTAGACAGTGGGAGGATCCGGAGTGTTGATGGTCAGTCCCACGCTCCCTCTGGACCCATCAGAAGCCTGAAGGAAGTTAGAGCAGAGATGGTGAAGCTGTGGCGGGGAGATGGTCCCTAGGCTCAGCTCAGAGAATGGGAACAAGACCACCCAGGAGGCAGCGCGTCTGGGTTTTCATTCTAGCTCTGCAGCAGCTTGCTGTGAGACCTTGGAGAGGTTGCTTACCCTCTCTGAACTTTTCAGAGGTGGGATTACATCCTCTTTGTCCTGTTCATACTTAAGGTAAGAACATAAGTTTTGGCACCAGAGTTCCAGTCCCAACACTTGCAAGCTGTGTGACCTGAGGCAAGTTTCTTAATCTCTCTGTGCACCTATCCCATAAAGCCGGGAGGGATTAAAGGAGCGTTCTCAGTTCCCTCCCCTAAGTGCCCTCCCCTAAGTGCCTCGATGCCACATTCCAAAAGCCTTTGAAGAGGGCACTGAGCTTGGACTTGGGGGCCAGAGGCTGGTTTCAAATCCCAGTTCTGCCATCTGCTTCGCAATGTGAGGTGACAAGTGACTTCCCTGGTTGAGCCTCTGGAGGGGGGACCTGACCCGGTGGAGGGCAGCACCCAGCCCTGCCCAGCGGGTGGGGCTCCTCAAGGTCACGGTCCCCTGTGCTGGCAGCACCCTCAGGTGTGCATTTGCTGTCCCTCATTTCCTCCCCAGGCCTGGGGAGGCAGGTCAGGGAGGTCTGGGGTCCCGGGGGGTGGGGGGGAGCCCTGGCCAGATGGAGCCTGCCCAGCCCTGCCCTGTTCCAGAACCTTCCCTGACACCAGCCAGGGCGCTGGGGGAGCTGGCAAGTGCCCTTACCATGGGCCCGGGCTCCAGCTCTCCCGGGGACAGCAGCTGGACCAGGTCAGCAGCCTGGAAAAAGGACAGAGTGTGTGCGCGTGTCCTGCAGCCCCGGGGACGGGACGCCGCCTGCGCTGTGGCCGGTCTCCGCAGGACAGGGGCCCGGCGCCCAGCGTCTCCGCAGGCTCCGTCTGGAAACTTCACGTTTCCTTGTTTCCACCGTCTCTCTCTCAGCTGATTCTGAGAACTCCTACCCGGCGACATGGAGAGACCCTCATGGGGACCACGTCACTCAGCACGGGTTCCAGGACGACCTCCTGGGTCGCTTTGCCTCGTACAAGCCATAAATGGGGACACCCCCACCCCAGGGGACTTTCTAATCAGGCCACGTGGGAACACGGCGCTAATCAGGAGAACGTCCGAGTCACGTGGGAACCTGCTGGCCATGCACTGCCTCCTGGTCCCACCTGAGGTCACAGGTCCTCCTTAGCACACTCCTTTCTGCCACACCCACCCAGACCTGCTGTACGAGGCCACGACATCCACGTCAACGGCACTTTCCCCCCATCACAAGTGGGGCTGCCAAGAGTACCCCGGCACATCGACCCCCGTCCACGGGCACAAGAACTTCTGCAGACAAGGGATCACGGGCTTCCACCTAATGCCTCAGGGCTCCACACCTCTGTGGGACAGAGGGGAGGGGACAGCAGGGCGAGGCAGGAGGCCTGGCTGTAGTCCAGATGTGACCTGCTGGACGACCTTAGACACATCACTTGCCCTATCTGGGCCTTGTTTTGTAGACACTATTTTACATAGTTTTTTTTTTTTTTTTTTTTTTTTTTTTTTTTTTGCATGAACCAGATTCATGGTTTGAGATTTTCCACTTTGCATATATAACCATATATAAAATTAGAATGTGACCAGTGTTTTGGTGGGAATAAGAGGTCAAGAAGGTGCTCTCTGAGCAGGTGACATTTGAACTGAGACCAACAGTGGAGAGAGAGTGTTCCAGGCAGAGAACAGTAGGTGCAAAGGCCCTGAGGTAGGAACCAGTTCAGCCTGTGTGTCTGGAATGGTGGGGGGTGAGCAGGCTAGAGAGAGGGACAGGGGTCAGATGGCACAGTACCCTGGAGCTGCAGGAAGGAGACCTTATTCTGGGTGTAATGAGCTGCTTCTGGGTGGATCCATCTGTGTTTCTTGCTCTTTGATCCCCATCCACCCTGGGAACTAGCTTTTCTTGGGGACCTCTGAGTGTGTGCTTCCTTGCTCTCTCTAAGTTACTTCTCGGAGATATCGTCACACACTGTGCTGTCCACGGTGGCCCTTTGGCTATCCCCAGCCACTGGCTACCCCAGTGCCCTGCTATTTTAAATAAAATAAGCTGTTTGTGTACCACGAGGCCCTGAGCTCTGCAGGGGCAGGGATGCGGTGCGCATGGGACCCGGGACACGGTGGGCCTTCAACAAACATTTGCCACTAACTGAGTGCTGCGGATGAAGAGGGGCAGTAAGGGCTGTGAACAGTGACGTCTCCGGCGAGGGGCTTCCCTGCGGGGTTCTGAGGCTGAGATAGGAGTCCCCAGGTGAGGCCCAAGGCCCTGGGTGACTTGTGTGGGCCCAGGACAGCACTTCGCCACTGGGCCTTAGTTTCTTCCGGTGAAGGCCCTTCCGCCCCACCCTGGAGCACTCACTGCGGGGTCCTGGGGGGCCACGCGGACTTCCCTGCTGGCGTGGAGGCAGGACAGGATGTCGTTGTAGAGCTCCTTCTGAAAGACCAGGTCCCCCATGCTGCCTGGGGCTAATGGTGGGAGGGGTCGCGGGGCCAGGTGGTCAGGCCTTGGGGCCCTCTGGGCTGGGCCACAGGGGGTCACAAGCTTCAGAGAGAAGAAGGAAGGGGACATTGAGCTGGCTGCCAAGGACCTGCCGGGCTTGCAGGGCGCTGGGCTCTGATCCAGGGGCCTGGCTCCTCGCATCCCCCGGTTTGATCCCACCTTTTCTCTGTGCCTTTGTCAGAAGGGCCCCGTGGGACCCAGGCAGATTCCGCATCCTGCCACCTCCTGTGTCCCAAGGAGCAGGGGACAGAGCGGGGCAGACACCGCGGTTCCCCAGGTGGAGGGACCCCCCGGGTGGCAGTGCTGGGACAGAGCTGAGCCCCCCTCGCTGGCCAGGCCCCTGGGTGAGCTCCGGGCCTCGGGCCTCCTCCTCCCTTCCTCCTCCTCCTCCATCTCCCCTGGACCAGCGGACGTCCCCAGAGGGTCTGCTGGCCGAGGGCCGCTCACCTGGACTCTCATCAGGATGGCCTCCTCCCTGAACTCCGTGGTGGTGACGTAGTATTGGACGTCCTCTGGGCCTGAGATGGCCGGGGCTAGGTGGACACAGAACCAGGGCTCAGCCCACGGCAGGGGAGGGGTGGGGGGCAGGAGAAAGGTCCCCCCGACCCCCAGCCCTGAGACGGCTGCGCTTGTGCATCTTAGAACAAAGCGAGAGACAGCTTCGTGCAGGATTTGGGGTCACCCAGCGGCCCTGCTCTGTGGGCCCCTTGAATCAGACAGGGAAACGGGCTCAGAGGGTCAAGGACTGTCAAGGTCACAAGTGACATGGCCCCTTCCCCCCACTAGAAAGCAAGGTCCCTGCGGGAGGTCTGCCTTGTCCCAGTCGCATTCCCAGAGCCTAGAACAGTGCCTGGCGCCGGGCGGGGGAGTGGACGCCTCTGCCCTGAGCAGCAGTGACCTACGGAGGACGATGGTCAGCAGGTCTTCCAGCAGGGAGCTGAGCAGGGCCGTGGCCAGGGGGCACACCTGGGGGACGACACGGTCCTCCTTAGCATGGGGTCACGGTCGGCCTGCTCCCTTGGTGCGGGCCGGAGGCAGGGTGGGAGGGCCACTCACCATCTTCTGCAGCAGGAAGGGCAGGGAGTGGTCCAGGACGCCGGCCACCAACTCCAGAGGTTTGTCCACCAGGAGGGCGTCCGTCCTAGGGGAAGGGGACAGCTGTGGGACCCGACACATTGTGCAAGGGCAGGCGTGGGTCAGAGAAGGGAGGCCCGGGCTGGGCTGAGGGGCCCCTGCTGGCCTGGGTGGCTTGGCCTCTCCCTTCCCGGGTGCTGTCCCCCCTCCCCTCCTGTCCTCTCTCCCCTCTTTGCGGTCTGCTCGTCCCCCCCTTCTCTCCTGCCGACTCTACTTTCCCCTGATTCTCTTCCCTTCTCTCTTTGGTAGGACCCATGGCCACTTTGGGCACAGAGCTCTAGCTGGCCGAAGAGGCCACAGAAGGCCTCCCGGAGGACTCTGCACGGGTGCGTCCCCATGAGATCGACAGGCAGCGTCACCTCCCGCGGCAGCTCCTGCCCTGGGTGGGCCTGTGGCTGACCCCCTCCCCACGCAGCCCCGCTGGCGGGTGCCGGGGGCACCTCATTTTCTGGTGGGGAACCCGAGGCCGGGAGCGGGGCAGCCTGGGCAGGTCCTCCCTGTAGGAAGGGACCAGGCGGAGGTCTGAGCCTGCCCGAGGGGCGGCTCTCAGCCACTGACATCTGGTGTGGAGGCAGGAGATGGGGACAGGTGGCCCGTCAGCCTGGGGCCTTGGAGATGACCCTGTCCCCGGTGCCCTGGGCTCTCTAGACCCTAGGGAGAGGCAGCAGGCCCAGCCCCGGGTCTCTGAGGTCGGTCAGCTCGGGGGGGGGGAGGAGTGGGCCCGGGCCCTGCCACTCACTGCCCCAGGATCTCCACGCTCAGGCTCCCGGGAGGGGTGTGGCACTCCTCCAAGGCCACCGTGGTCCTGGTCCCCGTCTGCTCCAGCCGCACCCCCATGCGAATGTTCTTGATGACTTTGAGCCGCAGGATCCTGGAGGGATGGCGTGTGGGACAGGCTCGAACCCGGCCCCAGGTTGAGGCAGGACGTCACAGCCGGCCCCACGGTTGCCCGGAGGACTCAGATTGAAAATCAGGAGAGCTCCTTAAAACAGGGACAACCGGGGGACCTGGCGGCACCCTCACGGGGGACCCACACCTGGAGCTGAGGGTGGCCTTGGGGTGGGCCTCAGGCTCCCCTGCTTGCTACAGCCCCCACCAGGACGATGGTCACTCAGCACGTTGACGGCGCCACCCGACAAGAGGAAGGAAGATATTTTACAAGGAAAAGTGGGGGTGGACGTGTAGCTGAAGGGCATCGATGAGTTTTCCCGCTTCCTGGGCAAACAGCGGTCCACGGGCTGCTCTGTGGCATTTCTGAGTTTTGCAGATGAACACTCAGTACCGCTTAGTGCAGGGAGCCCGGTGCCCATTTCACAGATGAGGAAACCGAGGCCAGGGAGCAGACCTGCCCGGTCAGTTCCCCAGCCCAGGAGTGCCAGCCTCCAGGTGAGCGCRTATTAGACCCTCCTCAGGCCACGCTGTTAGTGCCCTGAGCTGCCCAGGTGCCCAGAGTGGGTGTGTGTCCCCCAGCATGGAGTCAGAAGACTGGATGATTCGCTGTGTGATCCAGGCAAGTCCCTTTCCCACCCTGTGCTTCATTTTTCCCACCAGCAAAATGGCTTTCAAACATGCACGGATAGAAAGGACTATCAGGGTCCTTGTGGTGACACGTGGCCCGTGGCTTTGGCTGGCGTCCTGGCARTGCAGGTCTGGGTGGTGAGGAAGCCCACGTGTACTTACTCCTGGAGCGAGAGGTACAGTTTGCAGCGCAGCGTGACCTGCAGCAGGCTGTCGCTTAGGATTTGCAGGGTGACCTCGGGTCCTTTGGCATCTTCTATGACCAACCTGGAGAGGCACGGGGTGCTGGTGAGGCTTGTGTGGGTGTGTATCTGAATGGGTGGGAACAGGGGCAGACCCCAGGAGAAGCTGGGGCGACAGTTGGGACAAACCCTCCTGGTGACCCCAGCCTGGCTGTGGAACACGGGGCTCTAATCACAGTCTCTAAGCCCTGAAGACGGGACAAGCCCCTTCCCTTGTCTGGGCCTCAGTGTCCACTCTGTGAAATGGGGGGAGACATGGAGGGGCCGTCTTGTCATGTTTCACCTGTCTGAACTCAAATACCGGCCTCTGGGGTTGGGGACAAGGCTTGGGGTAGAGCACTTGCCTGGCACATGCAAGGCCCAGGGTTTGGTCCCCAGCCTCGATAAAACAAAAAACAAACAGCCACACCAAATCAGAAAACAAGACCACGAAGGCAGGCTGTGGAAAAGAAGAGCAAAGAGAGTCCGGCAGCTGCAAGTCCAAACGGGAGGAAACCCTGGCCTCCAGCAGGGAACTTTCTGGAAGGTTCCAGAATGCCTTGGAACCCGCGCAGCTTTCCTGCCGCTCTCCGAAGCCATGCCCTGGTGGGGCGGGCAGGAGAGGCACTGTGAATGCACAGGCCAGGGTGACCACAGCCGACCCGGGCCTTGGCCAGGCTGGGGCCCCGTGGGCCGCACCTCCTCCCGCCAGCAGTGCCCTGGCCTTTCACCTCACCCCACCCCCGAAAACGTCCTCTGAGTCGTCTGCTGCCTTAGGGTGTGGCCTGCTGTCCGAGGCGCTCATGCTGGGGACGGATGTGGGGGGAGCCCTGCCCTGCGCGCAGGCACTTGTCTCACGGGTCCCCATGTCCGTCCTTAATTCTCTGCCTCATTTGTTTTCAGAGCCCAGCAAGGGACATAGTGAGTGGTGGGGCGGCTGGGGACGGACTCGGGGCCATGGACCTTACCACCCGTGGTTATCCTGGAGGGGCCAACCAGTGGCCCAGAGTTCTGCTTTAAGGAGAATCAGTGWCCAGGGCTGAATTACGTCCCTGGCTCCCAAATTCATATGTTGAAGTCCTAATCCCTAGAGCCTCAGAATGTGACCTTATTGGGAAACAAGGTCATTGCAGACGTCATCCGTCATCCCAGGCTGTCCTGGGGTCGTATAGGCCCCTAATCCACATGACGTGTCCTGGGGTAGGGGGATTTTGGACACACAGACGGCATCCCCGGCGTGCAGAGCAGGGATGGATGGAGTTCCTACACCCAGCACCAGAGGGCGCCCTAGGTGACAGCAGCCGGGGAGCCAGCCCAYGGGGCGGTGACCCCACACTGTACCTGGGCCTGATTGCTAGGCAGACAGTGAGGCTGTTTAGGCGACTCAGCTTGGGGCACTTTGACAAACAGACACAATTGGAAAAGCCAGATTTTTAGAAAAATCCTCTATTTTTTTCCCCTTTTCTCTTGGCGGGGTGGGTCTCATGGCCCAGAGAGTCTCGACTGCTAGATGGGGTCAATTTATTTAAAATGTCTTTCAAGACACCACACAGGTTTGTAGAGAAAGGGGACAGGGCGGCCGCACTGCGGGGCTCAGAGCCTGGCTCAGACCCCACTCCTGCCTTCCCAGGGGGKTTCAGTGGCTTGGAGGGAGGGAAGGACACCCTTGCCTTGTGCTCGAGGCTGCAGAGGCCACAGAGACACCTGGCTGCCCACCTTGTCACCGCTGGATAGGCGAGAACGTGGGCTGGGGACGGGACGCAGGCCCTGTCCCCRGGGCAGGAAAGGCCACAGCAGCCGCAGGCCACTCACCCGCCGGCCTGGAGCAGGTCCGACAGCAGAGGGAGGCTCTTCCCCGAGAGCAGGTCCCCGACCAGTGACAGGTCCAGCCCRCTGCTCTTCTTGGACAGGCTTTTGCTGACAAAGGGCAGGTGGTCCAGGACAGTCGCGCCTTCCCCCGGGGTCCCCGTCACAGGCACCCTGACTACKCGGCTCAGGATCTGCTGCTCTGCAAACAGGTCTGAAATGTCTGTAGACACGGCCTCCTCAGCCTGGGCCTTCCCCCCACTCGTTCACCAGTGCCCCCCGTGTCACCCAGGCTGCGCCTGAAAGCCTGGGCCCCAGCCATCCTCCTGCCTCTGCCTCCYGAGGAGCCRGGACTCCAGGTGCGTCCCCAYTGCCGGTGGCTGACAGGCCCTTATGAAGCACTTCTCAGCAGGGCTCTGGGGACAGCAGCACCCTGGTTCCGACCCCACGGAGTTTACACTCTAGTCAGGGAGACGACAACAACCCAGCGCTCAGAGCAGTGAGCAAAGTAATTTTTAGCATCAATTAAGTGCTACAGACTAAAAGGGAGCAGATGAAGCCTGACAGGCTGAGGGCCTGTTTGGGGCAGAGGGATTAGGAAGGGCCTCGCTGAGGAGGTGACCTTTGAACCGAGGCCTGAGGAAGTGGGGAGCCCACTGTTGACCATCTGGGGAAGAATGACATAGGCAACGGTGTGTGCAAAGGCCCTGCGGTGGTTATGAGCCTGGTGGGTTTGTGAAATAGAAAGATGGGTGAGGCTGGAGCGGGGGGGGGGGGGGGGGGGGACAAGTGGCTCACAGCCAACAGGGAGGGAGGCACACAGAGGGACAGGGCGACAGGTGCAATGTTACACTTGGATAGGGCCATAGAAGAGGCGCCACCAAAGGACTGGGAGCCCAAAGGAGGGAGAGTCCTGCTGGGAGGATCAGGAGGGATTTCCAGAGGAGGCGCAGGAAGAGCTTTGCCTTCTCAGAGGGTCAGAGTTCTCTAGTTTTGGCAGAAGGGCCGCATAAGAAAGGAAGGAGACGGAGGTCTTGGAGAGGAGGGAGAGCTGGGAGATGCTGGACTTTTTGAGGACCAGGAGCTTAGAAATGCTTTCGAAAAGCCAGGCGCCGGGCGCACACCTGTAATCCCAGCAGCTCGGGAGGCTGAGGCTGGAGGATCAGAGTTCAAAGCAGCCTCAGAAAAAGCAAGGCACTAAGCCACTCAGTGAGCCCCTGGCTCTAAATAAAGTACAAACTAGGGCTGGGGCTGGGGCTCAGGGGTCGAGGGCCCCTGGGTTCAATCAGGTACCAAAACAAACAAAAAGTGCTCTTTAGGGCCACACCAAGTGACGGAGCCGGAGAGAGACAGGTCAGCCCCCGGGACCGGCCTGTGAGTCCCGTGGCTGGTGGGGAGAAGCTGGGGGGGTGCGGCCCCCTCTCCTGACCCCCGCCTCCCGCCACGCACCCTCCACATTCACCTGTCTGCAGCTGATCCTTGCTGACCCGCAGGTAGAGCGGGCTGTGGGCCCTGCCCTGGGCGGGGGGCGGCAGTGCCCAGCACAGCAGGGACGCCCAGAGCAGCCGCATCCTCCTGTCGGACCTGTGGGCCCAGAGCGTGAGGACGTCCAGGTCCCAGCCGGGGACTRGCAGCCCTTTACCCGGCTCTGCCTCCCCCACCCCGTCCTCCCAGCCCCCTGCCTGCCCAGCTCCCACCCGCGGGTCCTGGAACACAGCCTGCGCCTCCTGCCACCATAGCTCTGGCCTGGGCACCCCCCAACTGCAGGCCCTTCCCCTCCTGCAGGCCGGCTTCAAAGTCCGGCTCTGCCATTCCCATCTGTCTGGCCTGCCCAGGTCCCTTGACTCCTCTCTGCCTCAGTTTTCTCATCTGAAAAATGGGGACGATCACAGGTTGTTGACGGTGTGTAGAAGCACACAGTGAGCGCCCGCAGCTGCCAACGTGGCGGCCCGTGGTGAGAGGTCCAAGGGCCCAGGGCTCCCTTCACAGCTGGATGCTTCTGGATTGTGAGGAAACCAGGGCTGGGGTCCTGATGGAGGTGCCCCGGAGGCTGATGGGGCAGGAGTAGGCACCGGGGCCTTGGAGCCAAGTAGCAGGGAAATCATTCAGGTTTGTGAATCAGCATTTGTACCAGGGCCAACCAGCAGGACTCAGCCCTCCCCAGTTGGCCAAAAGGAGCAGCCGGGCCCCCGGAGGCCGCAGGCAGGGCGTTCTGGGGGCAGGAGGACACCACCAGGAAGCCAAGCTCTGGAGCGACACGCAGCCCAGGGAATGCGGCATCTCCAGGCAGGTGTCACGGTGAGCAGGGACCTTGAGGAGGCGCACGGAGGGGCCCCAGATGGCTGAGCCACTCCCGGGTGCCTGAGAGAGCTCCAGGACCCAGCCGGCTGCTCCTTGGGGGACCTCGCTCAGCGGAGAGCTCTGCCAGTGTGTGCGTGGCCCGGGTTCAGTCTCCAGGACCCCAACAAACACAAGCAAACCCACAACAGGGTGATGAAATTGGGTAGTAGAAATCAATATGCAATATGCAAATCTTGGTCTGTGGAGTGTGTGGCTGTGGCATTGACTCTCCCTATTTGGTTTCCAGGATGATTTTTTTTTTTTTTTTTTTGTGGTGCTGGGGATTGGACCCAGCGTCTCTCACATGCTGGGCAAGTGCTCTACCATTGAGCCACACCGTGACACCTGCAGCCCTTTTAAAAATGTTTATTTTGAGGCAGGCCCTTGCTAAGATGCCRAGGCTGGGCTCAAACTTGCAATCCTCCTGCCTCAGCCTCCCGAGTCGCTGGGATMGAAGGCATGAGCCACTGCACAGGCTTCCGGGCTGACCTTAAACTCAGCCACTGTTCATTCTGCCAGCCAGCGTTGAGTGGGTCTCCGTCAGGCCCTTTGCTCTGTCCGTTCACCACTCCCTGGCCTTGGSCCTGCGCACCCCACGCCCAGCGCCCCCCAGCTCTCCTCCGGAGGCGTCCACACCTGCCCTGACCTCTGGAGTCCTCACTGGGTGCCAAGAACTCTACAGGCCTCATCAAATCACTACGTCCTCATCAAGATGGGATCACTGACGTCYAGACCTATTTTACAGATGAGGAAACTGAGGCTGAGAAAGGAGAAATGGCTTGCTCCTGGGGACAGAGTAAGAGGCAGAGCTGGGACTGAACCCTGCTCCCCTGGCACTAAGAAGCCATGCACCAYTTCACCAGGTCTCAGCCAGTGTTGGGGAGACACCCGCGCTGGCCTCCTCCTCCTTACCTCTCCCCGAATGCAGCCTCCCAGGATCCAGGTCTCGGCCTCTGCCTCCAGCTTCCCGGACAACTTTTATAACTGAGCTCTGAAGTGGGGGGTGGGCATGTGGACAGGAAGTCCAGCCCCTGGCCAGGCCCTGCCCTTCAGAGGAGCTGTTGAGGGGAGGGAGGGTCCTCCTGGCACTGGGTGACAAGGGGCTTCTTGCCAAAACTGATAGGACCCAGCATTGAGGACAGGGGCAGGCTCTGGGCCCYGGGGCCAGCAGCCCCCAGGAGGAAGTGGGTGGGCCGTGTGGTTTGGGACGTGGGCCACTTCCCTTTGGATCAACATCAGAGAAACAGGGCCAGGGCTGCAGCCCTCCCAGGACAGTCATGGAACCCGAGGAGTGAGGAAGCGGGGTGCAGCAGGGATAGGAGAGTAGGTGGGGCGCAGAGGTGGGGCTGAGGGGCGCTGGTGACCAGCAGCGGGCATCCCCAAGCCTTTTCCGCGTCTGTTGTTCAAGCTACAATTTTCACTCTGATTCCCAAGGACACGTCTCTGGGTTCAGTCTGCCTCTGATGTCCAGGGGTGTGTGACTGTGGGCAGGCGACCTTCCYTCCGAGACCCTCTTCTCCTGCCGGGTAATGCACATAGTGAATCYACCTGTGTCCCCTGGGGACGGCGAGGTTCCTGGAGGGAGGTCACGAGGCTATCCCTACGGGGCCTGGCACATGGGAATGGTTAAAAAATGGCTTCACTCCCACTTTACAGATGRGGAAACTGAGACATGTTCCAGGTCGTGCAGCATGTCTGAGGTCAAGCTGGGGTTTGTGACCGGGGATTTGGTGTCACTACGCCTGACAGCCCCTGGACTCGGCTGGAGCCTCTGACGTGGGGACACTGGCGCCCCCTGCTGACCATCACAGCTGGTGGTGCAGTCCCCAACGGCAGAGGTGTGTAGGCGGCTTGTAGGTGTCCCCTGGGGTTAATTCCTTGTTCTTTCTCAACCCAGGGATGCAGCCAGGGCAGGTGTGGGACTCCTGGAGACACCGGGGACAGAAGGGCTGAGGTGGAAGGCCGGGTCCTGGGGGACAGCGCCGGCCACACGAGGCCCACGTTAGCCGGTTCTTTGGCTAATAGCAAAGGCAATGGCTAAGCTTAGTGTGACTCAGCGCGTCTGCTGGATGGAATCTTGTTCTAGAATCTCAGAGGCCTAAAGTCACGGGCTTTTGGGTTGGAGGATGCTCTCAGAGTTGATGAGTCCCCTGATTTCTGTCGACTGGGTCTCAACATCACCGTCAGGAGGCGTCTTGCTGCCTGAGAAGGGCCCCCAGGGGACCTGCCTCCTCTGAGTCCCTGGGGAGCGCTCCCGGGATGCTCAGGGAAGCGCCTCCTTCAAATCTCACTGTAAAGAAAAGGGGAGGGAAGGATTCCTTGGAGCCCCAAAGGGTTCTCTGCGTCCCCAATGTCTTGAGAGAGAGGGAGGTCTCCCGGGAGGCTCTTCCATGCGGAGAACCCCTGGGAAGGACGCAGAAGGTAAGGGACACCAGCTGCTGATTCCCTCTGAACCTCAGTTTGTTGATGTGTAAGATGGGAATGTGAACCCCAGGAGGCTGCCGACCCAAGAGCCCTCGTTACTTGTGATACCAGTTATTACCGTCCAATGTCCTGCTGTGGGTGAGGCCTGGGCTGGCCCGCCCCACCTCGTCACCTGGGGTCTTGTCTGAGACAGGACGACCGTGGTCTCTGTGACGCAGGAGGATGTGCGAGCGTCACTTGGTGTTTGCTCTTTGCTCCGGCTGCTGAGACTCAGAAGTGGGGGCGTTCTCTCTCCCCAGGCCCAGGAAGGTGACGGGGCCTGGGAGTCCCCATCTGGAGACTCCTGCCTCGAGGTTCATGGTGGCTGGTGTGTTCCTTGACCAGACAGAAAAACGGTCCCTCTCCTGGAGATGCCAGGGTCATTTATCCACCAGCCCCTGGCAAGTCCCAGAGGTCGTGGGTGGTCAGACCCGGGGTCCTTGGCCATGGCTGCTTGGAGAAGGACCCCCACGTCCTGGCTCAGCTGTGGGGTGGAGCTGCTCTCCTCTGGGCTGGAATAGAGGCCCCTTCACGGGACCAGACGGGGCCAAAGACAAGAACCCTGTCCCTTCCTCCAGGCCCTTGGCAGCCTGGGTGGACGGATCTGCTAGGACCCCAGGGAGCCAACCAGACCTGTCCAGACCAGGAGACAGACCTCTGCCTCCTTGAGGTTCCAACCCAGATTTAAAAGGATTTAGAAAACAAAAACCCCAAACCAGGAMGTGATGGGTCTGAGCAAGGTCCTCYGGGTCCTCCAAGGTGGCAGGGCTGGGGGACCTGGGTCTGGGCACAGGCCTGGTGCTCAGGGACTGCTCAGGGCTGGCCCACACTGGGGGCTGGCATGGGACCGGCCCTGACCGTCCGTGTGCCTGTCGGCCTGGCCCATGGTGGAGACTGGACAGAGCCTCGCCGGCTGCCCTGGGCTGAGCGGTCCTCTCGTGTGTGTGTCCTGGGATTGAGTAACAGGTACGCCGTTCCCCAAGGCCACGCCGTGCCACTCTTCCTGTCAGGCCCCCCATGGAACTGAAGCGCTCTGGGTACCCTACTGTCTGTCCTGAACCTCCTGGGGCCTCGGGGGGCCAGGGAGACAATGGCAGTCACCACTGTCTGAGTGGGAAGGGGGCTTGGTGATAAGGCCCCGTACCCCAAGGCCAGTAACAACAGTGACGATGGCGTCACCCACAGATGACACTGTCTGGTGCCTACCGTGGGCCTGGCACTATTTGCTCTCATTCATTTTATTTAAGGTACTGGGAGTTGAGCCACACCCCAGSGCCACCYCCCCTTTTAYAATATTTTACTTAGAGACAGGGTGTCGCTAAGTTGCTGGGGCTGGCCTCCTACTTGTGATCCTCCTGCCTCAGCCTCCTGAGTCCCTGGGATTACAGGCAAGTGCCACCGTGCCTGGTGCAACTGTTTTCTCTCATTTAAATCTGAACCACAACCCTCCAAGGCCAGAACTATGATTGTCCCCATTTTACAGAGAAGGAAACTGAGGCTCACAGAGGGGAAGCCACRTTTCAGGATCAAAGAGGGGCCAGAACAGAACTCGAAGCCTGGTTCGCTTGCCTCTGGGGCCTCGTGACACACCACGCCACCAAGATCAACAGAATGTGTGTCCCCACCAGACAAGCCCACCATAGATGTGTTGAGGGCAGGTGGGGAGACGGGGCCTTCTAGCGCCTGAACCCGGGGAGTGGTCAAGACGGCTGGCCCATCATCCCGGGGACTGATGTCACCCAGACACAGCTAAGGCGCTGCCCAGACT